AATGATACAGATGAAATGCATATTGATGAGAGTAATTTCTTGCCAATTCTGAAAAAAATATTCAAATTTATTAGTATACTGAATGATTGCTTATAAGAAACAACACCGAGTACATACTTTGACATCGAGTACATACTTTCCTAAATATATTAGCGCTGAAAATGAAATTGGTGCGCATTCATTACTTGCATTATTTTTATTGTTTCCTCAAACACAATGAATTAATTCATACTAGAGATTGGGGCAGATATTATTTATATATTATTTATATTTTTCGCAGATTTATTTATACATTAATCGTGGAGTCCTAAAAATTTCGTAACCAAAACATTGAAGAGTAACTAACATTGTTTGTCGAAATAAATGAAATAGAACTAAATTAAACAAAATTTAAGGGAAGACAGTCTAGCAAATACCATCCTATCATTCGCGTTAGGTATCGGTGGAAGATCGCATGTATAAATGCTAATTTTGATGGGAGTGGCTAGCGACGTGTGTCGACAACTTATGTCCACGTGTAGTAATGTAATAATAGTAATCACTGTTTAATCCTTTATATGTTTAAACCTTTACACTGAATGATTTCATTTCAACTGCCATATTGCATTGTGGAAAATAATTTATGCAAATCTCCTGCGAAACAATATGCAAATTTATGCAAATCCCTTTTACACAGTTTTGTTTCGCATCGTTTCAATTTCGAAACCTCCAAAATTGAAGCCTATCAATGAGAGGGAAAAACTGCATTGCTTTATCACTTGTAATTAACGCTATTAATTTGTATATGCTGAATAATATCATGAAATCTTTCTTTAATCCATATAAATCCAAATTGTTGATTTCCGCAATGTTTAACCTTTAAACAAATTATTTTATTGCATACAGTGGAAGAAGCAATATAACATATGAAGAAGCCATATTTAAAGGGAAGAAAAAGTGAAAAACAAAAAGGCTATTTCATGACTTATAATTGAACAGTGCAACTTCTTTTTGTAGCAATTTCAAAATTTAATTTAATTTCTTTCAAAATTTAATTTAATTTGTACAGATGGTACGACAACATATAAATTATGCGCATTCTCAAAAAATGATCCCATATGTGAATCTGTACGTATAGTTTTATTTTCTTTTTAAATAATTAGCAAGGAAACAAAAGTCTCGGAATCAACGAATAAGCCTAACATTTGAATAATAGCATTTGAACTTCTTTTTTCTTGAGCAAAGTGCGATAGCTTGCGACAGATGTTGATGATCACATTTCTACCACATGAAACAATTTATTTGTTTCAAAAATGGTTCCATGTCTATCGATCTTTTCAAAATATTATTATCATTTTCTTGTGCTACTCAAACTTGTAGCTCATAGATAGAACAACAATAACCAGATTAAATAATGGTATAATATCATTTTATCTTTAATATAAAACATGCGAATACACCTTTATTAATCAAATCGATCAACAACGACCAATTTAAAGAAGCTAACACTTCTAAGCGAGTTGATAAATCACTTAATTTTATCCTTTTTGATTTAAGGTCACGAAGTTTGTTAAATTCTTCGGAGAGCTTAAATTAAATTGATGACTACATTTCTACCCATGAAATAATTTGTCTGTTGCAGAAATGGTTCTATGTCCATCTATCTCTTCAAAATATCATTGTCATTTTCACATGCTACTCAAACTGGTAATCGCAGATAGGACAACAATAATCGGATTAACTAACAGTATTGATATGAAACATGCAAAGACAGCTTTATTAATCAAATCGATCAATTATTAAAAAGTGGATCATACTTATAAAACATCATTGATTTCGACATTATATGGCAAAATTAACTGAAAGAGAAATAAACCAAAAAATTTCTATAGCAACATGCAAATTATTTTGTACCAATATTGGATTAAAGAACACAGATAGGATTATTCAACACTGTACAGATTAAAAATTCATTCAACCGTTTAATGTCAACTATCCACTAATTTCCATTTATGCGAATATTGCACCCTCTGTATGCGTTATTCTAAATTCAGAAATTCATTCCTTATTGTATTAAAACGTTCCACACGTACTGCATGGGTGATAAGAACTTCATGAATTCTCGAAGCAGCAAAAATAGCTTAAAATTTAAATAGCTTATTTAATTACGCCTACTGCAAGCATTCGTCAGGGAAAGTGGAAACTATGCGTATGTTTGATGCTTATATAATCTCATTTTAATAATGGAAATTTTTAATTTCTTTGATGTTATTCTGTTTGCAATCCGGTATTTTATAGAAATCGTACGAATTTTCTGAGTAACAGATTACTCAAAGCATTTAAACGTATAAAATGCTTTCAAAACATAAGAATTCTTTCAAACTTCATAATTTTTTGTTATTCATGATTTTATCACTAAAACATTTCTAATGAGTTTGACCAAGAATGCAAAAAAATGTAATGGACAGTGGGATCTAAGGCAGTAACAGTGGGATCATTTGGCCAAATTTGACAACTTAAAACAAATTTCCAATGAGCAAAACAAAAAAGTAAATGAACATCTGCAGCTAATGAAAATGAATAGTTTTTTTTAAGCTTTCTAATCCCTTTCTAATCCCATAACAAAAAACAAAATCACTTTTATCTTGTTTTCCATCACTGACTGATAAAAATCACTCATCATTTCAATCTGAAATTTATTCATAATAATGGAAACCAAATATATACTGATGCAAGTAATCTTGCTGATACATGTATTTTCCTGTTTGTTTTTCCAAAATAGGCAGAAATTTTAGGAATTTTCAATTTCTATTCCAGAGCTTTGGATCATTTAGCAGTATATTGCGCTATTTAGAATTTTTAATTTCCTTCCTCTTTTTCTTTTCTACATATACTTTTTTGGTCAAGAAATGTAATATGCTCACTTTTGCGATAAAATAGTAAACACATAACTATGCATTTCTTT